CCCCCCCCCCCCCCCCCCCCCCCCCAACTGGGGCTATTTTAGGCTTAAGCTCATTTCTAATATGGTATCAAAGTCTCTCCTCCAACCCAAATATTAGCATTTGAATTTTGAATTCTTCAGCCATAGTTTTTTTTAAAATTCATTTTCTCTTTTTCTTTTTTCTAACTTAGTAACGTAATCTTTAGATATTATACTCTTTGGTAAGCCCATTTTGAATTTGAAGTCTAATGTTCCCCTATAACTCAACAGTAGATGCAAACATCATATTTTGAAACATTTGCAATTATTAGTAAAAGAAATGTAATATAAAACTATTTCTGACTTTCATTTAACATCATAAGTTTTTAAGAGATGACTCATAACATAATATTAGAGCCTCTATAACATGAAAATAAGCTCAAAGTAGCCAAACAATAATGTTTTAAGAGATAAAACTGCTGCTTTTGTTAATATTAATCAAGTTGTAGTTGATGCTTTAAGTCACAACTCACAACGCTAACAAAATGAATAAATTAGATTCAAAATACAAATCAAAACCAATGCAACATATACAGGAGAAAACTCTCAGCAGCATAATCAATGTCTTAAGAGGACATCAATTTTAGAGTCAAACAAGAAAGAGAGCAGTAAAAGCAAACTAGAGAAATTTTAACGAGACCCAGGCTCGTAATGGAATTAAAATACAGCCAAGAAACCAACCTATTTTGATGCAGTGCATGAATACAAGCATGTGTAAATTGTTTCACTCGGTAGTTCGCCAAAGCACATGTAGAAGAGTAATCCACCCCTGCAAAAAGTTTCACAACATCCCCTGTCGCAAATATTTTAGCTCTACAAGTTTAGTGGCAAACACTTAGGGGGAAAATAGACAAAAAAGGAAGGCAAGAATCTACAATATTTCAAATTGCTTTTCTTCTAACAAGCACCAGAGATAACAATACTAGCATCAGTGGCATGTAGTAAAGCTAAGATTCTAAACCCTTCAATACATGCGTCTTTAAGAGATCATATAGAGATATCTAGCAACAAGAATACAATCTTTGTCAAATAACACAACCATAAGGATGGCAAAAAACACATAAAATTCAAAATAAAATTTATCATGTGGATTGCAAACAACACTAATAAAATTAAAAATAAAATTTATAAAGAAGTTTGGGGACCAAAACCTCAATCATAGTCAGCTCACTATATTAACTGGTGGTTTCCCCATAAAAGAAAAACTTATTAAGAGAAGGAAGGTAAACACAAAAAATATAAAAGATGCAGAGAAAAGTAAATTCTTTAACATCTTCAGCAGAGGTCACTAATAGTAGCAAAAATAAAAAGCTTGTGACTATCTCAATATTTTTCAATAGCAAAAAGTACAATTCATGGGGCCAGTAACAAATAATTCGGTGAAATCCATAGCCTTCATTTTTCTTTTATGGTGAAATGTAATCACTAATAAGGAAAACGATAACCTAATGATCATCCACATCCACATTGTCACTTGGAAAGAAAATATGCAAACTAACTAGAGGCAAAACAAGCACCATAAAATCAGTTGGTTGCAGTGTTGCACTAGAAATCTCTTTCCTGGTAGGTGAAAAGATTAAATGTAAAATAAAAATATAGGTTCCAGTTCACATTTTTCCCCTAAATGCTTTAAAATCCAAGTATAAAAACTGAAAAAGAACTAGGAGTGTAAGCAGATACGGATAACCCGCGAACTCGAACCGACCCGAACTGACCCAATAAGTTTGGATCGGATTTTTTCAGTGTTCGAGTCAAACCCAACTCAACCCGATCAAAATCTGGCACTATACGGGTCAGGTAACAGGTTGTGTTTTCAACTCGTTACCCGACCCAATCCAGCCATATATAATAATAATAATAATAATATTTATAATAATAATAATTATAGTGTTTGAATGATCATTTGTTCAGTACAATACTCACTATCACTCTTAATTAGTAACGAGTTTTGTGTTTTAGGTTGATAGTATTGTAACAACATAATATATTTATTTTAAATTTTATTTTGTATTAATTAATGTTGATTTTTTGAGTTGATAATAATGTAACAAATTAATAAATTTATTTTAGAATTTAATTTGTATCATTGTTTGCTCTATAGGTTGATAACATTGTATTTGCAGCAATATATCCAATGATTTACGTATATTTTAAAATACTCAAATTTTCACAAAAAATAAATAAATTTAATTATATTAACCCAACTCAATCCAACCCGTTCGTGGTCGGGTTGAGTTGGGTTGGGTTTAAAAAAAAAAATCATAAACTTGACCCAACCCAACCTGTTAAATTTTGATTAGGTCGGGTAATGGATTCATCCAAATCCGACCCAACCTAACCCACTTACACTCCTAAAAAGAACTGTAAAATCCATAGGAAATAGAAGGCTTATAAAGAATTACCATTATCCTGAACAAACCACCAAAGCAACCGGCATATTTGAACAAGAATTAAAAAGTCATCAATATTGTCTGCCTTAAAGAAATAGAGGAACTGACAGAGGAAATCAGAATCTGGACCAAAAGAATTCCTGAATGCACACGAGATGACATTAATTTTGATTAGTAATGGTGCAATTTTCAAGTAAGATAATATCAAAATAGGCTGTATCATTAATTGCTACTAAAGCTTATATAATAAAATAAAATGAACAGTATTCAACAATTATAATTTACAATGATCAACTTTCACCTGTCCACATTCTGGCAATACTTCCCATAGGCTTTATAGAACTGCTCTCGCAACAAAGACTGTTCAGTTCTGACAGCTTTTCGCCCTCTGAAGCATTTCTGTAGCTAGAATCAGTCAACAATTTGCATGACAAATGAAAGATGTTGATTCCCACCAACATCAGTGTGCCTTCTCGGCAGTAGGCATGCATTGCATTAAATTATCACACAGCAAACAGGACACATCAAACTACAGCCTAGGCAGCTAAAATTAAGGAATTGCACAACTCTGCAATCTTGCTTTCAATTATCATGTAACAATGAGTATTCAAAATATTTCATAAATTTAAAATAAAAATATCATGAACCCATACAAATTGAGGAGCACCAACCATTTAAAGCTAGCAACGCACTTTCATTAAGATTTAATACACTACTGTGATGTATGGCATAATACAACAAAAAAATGAAAGTAATGTGTTAATAAATTAGTGGAATCAAAACTTTTAATATTGAAATCTCAAGCAAACAAACAGTATATCGTGGATTCAGATAATTTTCTGTGACTCATTAAATTGTAACCACGAAACATCAAATAATTCAACCATAATTTCCCCATAATATATATATAT